AAGGGTCATTCAAGATGTTTTTCTCTTTTACGTGAGTAATGGGGCAGAAGTTTTTGCTGTTATTTCACCCACAAGACAAAGTAACATGAATTAATATGTTGTAAAGAAAGTGTTAACGTGTTTTGTCAGACGTATTACTCCACAGTACAGTTTCCTTCAAAAGTCGATAGTTACTCAACCAATCCAAAAATTATGCGTTGTTATGGAACTCAAAGAATTGTCTCCGTCATTAAAAGAGCCCGCCATTTGCTACATCTGGAGTTAGTTCACATTTTGACTCCGAGTTTGTATGCGATTTATTTTAGTATTGTCATTCCACTATGCCTTAAATGCCAAATGTTCTTTGTAACATGAAATGTTTCAGTCACAAATTCTGTACGTATTTCGTGCTTTGTCTGTGCGTGTTTCATGTCCTGGTTTGCCGTTAATCTTCCTTAGCATTCTCAGTCTCTTGTTCTCGATCACACTTTATATCCACTTACGTTTTTTACGTACGTATAAAATAGGCTTGTAGAAATGACTTTGTGGCTCGCCAAAACAGTAATTAAAGTTTCCAGTTGGATAGTCTACGAGTTGGTGCAAAGTGTACAAAGAATAAAATGAATCAAGTTTTAAACTTGAATTCCGATTGGAAAACTTTAATGAAAAAGAACAGAAGTTGTTCCGAGTGTGGAAACTATTAAAAATTATACTTGGAAGACATTGCTATTTTCAGAGCAGGAGATATTATAAATCAGTAAGTTTATCACAGAAAAAATAAGGTAAGAGGACAAAGGTGGGCAGTTGTGGCTGCAATTATGCAACAGTGTTAAAATCAACCTTAAAAAATTGGCTATTAAACATTAGGTCCGGCTTCATCTCCCTCAAGATACACCGAACGCTGAACGAGTGGTTAGCAGTCCTTCGTATTTAGGAGGTCCCAGGTTCAGATCTCGGTCCGGAGTATTTTCATGGTTTTCCTAAATACTTCCATAAAAATGCCTGAATAATACCTTGAATCTGGCCACGATTAATTCATTTATCATCCTATAATCCGACACTATATAATCTGAGGTTAAGTAAACCACAGAGAAAAATCCTCAAGATGTGTTCTTCAGAAAGCTTTTGTGGTTATGAGGATTAGTTTTCGAGGTCCATATGAATGTGGCCGAATAACTGTGCAGTAGGTACCGGTTATAGCTGTGCCCGTCGATGTTACATACAAGGTTAGTGCAACTGAGGTGTAGAAACTGAAGTTCTGTGCAATGAATCGGCTAAAAAGAGTTTTATCTGTGACATCAAACTAGTTGCGGAAGAACTGGAACCCAAATAAAATAGCCTGAAGTGGACTATGTGCTGTGGCTTGTTAAATGGTTTGACGTCAGTGGCGTCTTGCATTGCAGATGTGCGTAAATATTTATTTTTATAGTTGAACGACCCACACGTCTACCATACTACACAAAGAATTGCAGGCAACTGTTCATTGCATATAAACTCATTTCCTAGGGGCCCATTTAATAATATCAGTTATTTCGGGCTAATGTGGTGACTACCTGAAACAGGCCACGGCCACTTTGCAATTCGTCTTTCATAATTAGTCTGTCATTTCGTTGAACCAAATAGCAGTAACGTTGAAGACTTATAATAGAGGAGTTCCTGGTTCGAATCTTACCTTTAATTGTTTTTCGTGACTTTTCTTAGTCTTTCCTGACGACAGTTCCTTGAAACACTCAACAGTGGCCTCTTTGTAAATCCTTATCCACTGACCTTAACGTCGTCTCATTCCATACAATACAATTAAAATCTAAAAGTCGATAGTGTAATTTCCTCCAGGGGACCGAATAACTGCAGTGGCTCGAAGGAAGCATCTCCGTCTCTGGAAACAGGCTTACCACACCAAAGTGAAATTAGAGATGATTTATGTTGCTGAGCTATGCTGCTGAGCTATGCTGCTAAGGCTTGCCTCCTGTATTGAGCATATCGATAAGTCGGTGGCTGGTCGATATACCAGTATCGACAGGCAACAGTCGAATTCGTTTTCTTTAATAGACCACGATGACCTTTTTCCAAATCCGCATCTACTCACCATTTGTAGTGCCTTTCCATCTCATTCGATGCCATATAATTCCTTCACTCGAAACGACGTAAGATTCAGTTACTGACAGTAATATTTTCTTCAGTCTGTCATAGTGGTCTTGCGATCTAAAGATGCCTGAAAGCAGGGGTTGTTGGGATTTGAATTCTGCTCCAAGTTCTTGTGTGTTGTGTTGCCAGAGACGATGCCCCATATAAGAATTCTATCTCTTAGAATTAATTATGAATCGTAACAAACCACAAGTACCATCCGTGAAAGATGCAGACATCTATTTCATAACATATAAAATGTCAGCTGCTGTGTTTTTGAAAACATGGTTCACCACACGAAGGTGAAACTGCAGAGGATTATATCACTTATCTTACCCTTTTTACCTCTAGTTGAGCGTATTAGCAGATCGTTGATTGGTCGCTTGGTCGGTCAATTAACGGAGTGAAACATTGACTTAAGGAACTAACTAGCTGCAAAAGGCGAGATTCGACCCCAGAGTTCTCGAAGTTGTTCCACTTTAACGAACTGTTTTGACGAGATAGTTCAAGGTGTTCAGTAATTGCCTTGACTTCTCCTTGATGTGTACTGAACTCCGTGTGCGTAATTATTGACCCAACCTTCTCGTCTAAGCCAGGGAAATTACATAGCTCAACCAAAGTCAGTGAATCCAGCTACTGGCTACTGGTCTTTACTTTAATTATTTAAAGCTTTTGTGACTAGCTTTTAATGTTGTTTAAACTTCGTTGCTTACATAGCCTATGGTTGGAGTGTAAACGATGTTAAACCAAACGAACTGAGCAGTAGCTTCACCTCTCACCCCTCACTTCATTCGTGGTCTAACAAATAACAGGACTGATGTTTTTGTGCAGAAACCGGCGACGTCAGTTGATGCACAATTCAGCCGTCTTGTTACAAACAATCGTTGGGATTCAGTTTTCTTCGTTGCACTTACTATATTGTCGTCGTGTTTTATTCGTCTAAGTCATTGGGAGAAAAATTTGCTCAGACCGATCAGAACGACTGTTTGAGGAAGCCCACCTACTAGAAATAATAATAGCAGGTAATGAGACTTTGATCTTATAGTACGATCCAGAAACGAAGGCAGTGAGTGGTCTTCTGTGGAAATGTCCAGTATCCGAGCCCAAAAAATTGGCGAATGACAAAATCAAGGCTAAGAACCACGCCAGTGTGCATTTTTGGTACAAAAAAATAACTATTATAAGATTTCTGTCTTTTGGGTTGTTTCGCTGTGTAGTCTGGTCGATGTTTACCAACGCCCTGATGACGGAGGCAGTATGACCTCTGAAACGTTGGCAAACATCGACCAGACTACACAGCGCAACAACCCAGAAGACAGAAATCTTCATACTCACCGCTGTGAAAACCTGAAATCTTACAACTATTATAAAGATTGCTGTCTTCTGGGTTGTTGCGCCGTTTAGTCTAGTAGAAGTATACCGACGTTTCAGAGGTCCTAGCTGCCTCCATCATCAGGGCCAGAAGACAGCAATCTTCAGACTCACCGCCGTAAAAACCTCAAATCCTACAACTGTTATATAAACATTTCACCGGAACAGCGAAGCAAACAGTCCACCTTTAAGCATTAGAACGTTTGCAGTAACCCATTAGTCGAAGAAGGCCAAGTCTGTGGCCGGGGAAGTCGATTTTGCTTCATGACAGCTCACCTTTCCACACGGCACTTCTGGTAGTGCAGTTTTTAGCAGAAAAATATGTTGGTTCTTTGCGACTTTTTCATGTCTCAGAATCTAACATTTTCCATCAGTCTCGCTTTAAAATAACTCGAAGACAATTAGAACCAAGTAATGACAGTGTCGAAGGG